TGTGCATTATGTAGGTACAAAGAAACTATGGATACCTTGAAAAAAATTCGGACTGATAGCTTGTTCGTACGAAGATATTGCATTTTTACGGTATGTTTTTAAATGAATGCCGTGTTCCCTCTCAGGAGTATCGGAAAAAGTGATTTTCGAATTTCGACTTGGAACTTTATGTAGAAACAGAACTTATCGAGAATAGTATTCTATAAATATTTCAGATCTTTCGATTAGTTCCTCTCTTGAAAGGCGAGCATCAAATCTTCTGGTTTATCCGAACGAAGTTATCATATCTGTAAGTATGGATAGCAACAGCAAACAAGTCTGAAGGGTGGGTGTGTGGGTATTCTATTTTCTAGCTACACCCACATCCTATTTGTTATGTATTTATGTAATATTAACCAATTTGATTTCGATGAGTTGATTAGTTTTTGTAGAAATATTTCTGATAAATAATTAAAATAGATTTAAATTGATAACCAACCTTTAAGATTTATTTAGTTAAAATAAAATAAAAATTTAATGTTGAAATATTTCAATCGAAATTAATTGAATTTTTATGTCGAGATTGAGTTAAACTATATTCAACTATTTAAGATTTGCTTTTATCAATTACAATTATCCGGAAAAAATCTTATAAATTTTTACAACTGGTGAAGTTGTAAACTAGAAACGAAACGTCACACCATTTTAAACAAAAATAAATAAAAAACCAACACTTAGTCAAATGAAAATTATTTAAATAATCAGAAAAATAGCCTATAAATGTCAACAAACATATTGTGAATGTACCGTTCTAGAATGGTTTTTTTCCCCAGATTCAGATGAAGAAATTTTTTCTTAAAGTTTTTAAGTGTTTTTCCAAAAACTTGGTTTCTCGGCAACAAATTGAAACAAATTCTATCCGGCTCGGAACAGAGCTAACTTTCATATTTAATTGCTTTGTTATGCTTATATTGAACAACATGTCCATTAAAATGCTTGTAATAATTGAATAGAAGGAAATTTCAAAAATTCCGTCCGATGAAAAATTGCACACAAAAGCTAGTTTTAGTTTGAATGCAGTCCAAACTCTGTACTCTTTATAACGATGGAGTTCTTTCAATTTTCTTCGACAGTAGGAAAACAAGCCAGAAATTCGATCTAATTAGGCATATCATGCTGAGATTTTCACCACAAGTCTTTTTCATTAGTACCGATTGTTCCTGAACATTTTGTTGAGAAATCAATGCTGAGAGGATCTTAATATATTATTATAAAACAAGTATAATATATAATCAGAATTCATTGTTATTATTAGTAAAACTTGACAATTATCATTTGAAGTATTATTTAAATGTAGTAAAATTCATCAATTTTTTCTTTCTAATTTCTTATAACTAAAACGTTTTGTTTATTGTTTATTAAGTCGAAAAAAAGTGAGAACTATTTATTTGGCCAATGATCTAATCTGATGTACTAACTGACCGATATAGAAACAAATTGAAAAACCTTCATGGAAACTAATAACAATTTAGAATATATGTCTTACTTAACATATGAATTTATCTTATGTTGAATTTAGTGTATCAAATTAATCAAATAATAACTAGTCGTTGGTTTTTGTTTTGATATTTTTTCGACATTTTCATTTCATAAGTATTTAGTTTCATAATTCTATAATTCAATATATTAGCTATCGCATTTTAATAAAATCGTTTAAATTTCATGAATAATTAAATTAATTGAGAATTCTATTTAGATTTCTCATTATTTATTTATTTTAAATTGAAAACATCATTTTGAGATCTTTAAGCTACAGCTTTTAATACAGCATCAGATACAAAGGAAATGGGATAAATGTTGACTCTTATGACTCAACAATAGGGAATTGCTGAAAGAAAATCAATATTGGCAAGAAGATAGGAAACACTTTCATTATTCGAATCGTATGTAAATTATTTTTGTTTTATATTCATAAACAAACCAGTGTAACAACAAAATTAAGTCTCTTCAATAAAAATATTCTGAAAAGAGTATTTTTTCATTAGTGGATAAGAAACTTTCTCGTCAGTGCAACAGTATACAACCTGTATTTGTCAAAGAATCGTAAGGTAGATGAAACGAGAAATGAGAAAACATTAGTACAAGAAAATTTTGATCTCAAGTCAAAAAATCAAATGTAGGATGAAATTAAATCGTACTAAAAGTCATATTCTCAAACTTTTATATCGAATGGTAACAGAAAATACCTGAAAGATCTTACTTTTCTGTAAGATAGTACAATACGATTATGAAAAAATCTTATGATATGATCAAACTTGACAATAATCTTCTAGAGCGAATCGACGTAAAATTTCTGAAACCAGGATTCTTTCTTGTACGATTTCATCTGATCTTCCAAAATCATATGTCTACTTTTTTAATTTGAGTAGACGACAATTCATTTTGATAAATGATACTTTTACAAAATTGTTTTCATAAGTTTACAAAAAATCAAACTAATCACCATTTTCAAAAGATCTTTTCAATGAATCTCCAAAAATAGAATCAACCATCGTTTTACATCATGTCTTTGACGAGTTCGTATAAAAATTACATATTTATTGGTCAAATATTTCTCTTTCTTTTAGTCTCATTTTATTTCCGAATATCTCACATGTTGTTCCTAAGAGGAATAATATCCTATCAACTGATTTAAAATATATCTTTCAAACCGTACTTATCATAAAGATATGGGATCAACATTTCGTGCTTCTTTTTGAATCTTACGAAAGGTGCAAATTTATTTTAACGGTACTTATCCTTTTTGTTATATCATTTATGAACTTGTGATAAAAATCTACCACATTTAGTTTGAAAAAGAAACGATTCTATCTTCCAACAAAATTTCGATTAGAGAGAAATAATCGAAAATTAGAAATTTTTTATTAATGACAATCATAATGAATAAATTAATTTAGAACAAAATAATGTTTGATGCTCATATTATGATTAAAAATTATCAAGAAATTATTGAAAATTTTCTTTTTCTTTATTTTATCGAATATTTATTTTATAACACAATTATGTTACAATAAACAATTTTATTCAAATTCGATTATCTAACAAATTGATTCAACTTTTTCATCTATTTAAATCTTTGCCAACATCATTAACCTATACTCGTGCAAGATATTTATATAGATTACTGATCAATTTCTATTTAGAAAATATTGAAAAGTGATCAATAAATGTTGCTTGTATTTTTATTAACACTTATAAATTGTTATTAGACAGATTATCTTTTTTTACGACATATTTTAGCGCTTTATATGTTGAAATAAGACAAATCATAAACTTTCAATTTGACTCAAAATTAATAATAGAGATAAGTTTTATTCAAAAAAAGAAAAACCATATTGTTCGAATGGTGAAAAAAAAGAGTTTTACCTCGTTTATAATTCTCATAATTATTTATCTCTCTGATGATATACTCGTTATCAACCTATATTTAGATTTTGTTTTGATCAGTTTGCAATTAAAATCATTAATCATTTTCTTGAAAATTAGTGTAACTTTCAGTTAGTATATATTTCAATAGACTTTTTTTTATATGTTTAGCTTACGCATTTTATGCTACCAAGATGCTACCATGATTCCGCAAACCTAACAAATTTGCTAATCTATTAACATTTCATTGGAAATAGACTAGGTGACCTTGTCAAATATATGAATATGACCCTATGAAATAATTCCTTAATGTCGAAATAATTATAAAATCTCGAAACTTCTAACATCATTATTTAGTCAACGATGGGTGCGAGTGTGAGTATGACACTTCGTTAGATGAATACCCACATCCTGCTCTTTCGAATGGTGAAAACCGCAGGTAAATATCTTCACCTAGCGGAAGTTATTCAAAGAATGACCAGGTATATTTTATTTTGAAACGGACAATAGATATACCTAAATGGATAATTCAATTCTGTTCGTCTAGGATAAGTTGTATCAACAGTCGATACACATTACTTCTTAATTCTTGATTTCATATAAGACTATCTAGAACCTTGATTTAAAAAAGTTCTTCGAGGCAAATTACGATTATATACGTACTCGTCACTCCTTTCGGTAGTTAACTACAATAGTTGGTTAAACGAAGGAAAAATATCTTGTATAATATTTCATAAATTAATAGATCATTAAATTGTATACACAACGATCTAAATACTCAATTGATCTATTGATTTATTCACTGGTATTCACATGAATGAACTGATGTATATTTTATTCAATGTATTTTCAATGTAAAGACTGTTCACAGACTTTGTCGTTTATATCAATTACAAATGTAAACAATTCGTCAGTAGATATATATTAACTTACCAAAATAAGCTTAATATGATTACTACTGATATTCATTTTCTGCTCAATTGCTATAATTCATGACTAATATCTCGATAAATATTTAACATCATTCATTAATAAAAAATATTGTAAAAAGTCTAAATCGCTTTTCTGTTATTCTTTTTTATTTTCATTTACAGCGAATAACCTCACGATTTATGATATAAGAAGAGATTAGTAACATGTTACAAAACGAAATCATCAGTGTGTGAAATGAAACGAATTGATGCTACTTTTCTCTCAATATACCTTAGTCAAAATTAAAGGTTATTATTGATAAAATAGGAACAAGTTTATCCAAACTGATATAGATAGAAATGATTCGTTAATTTATTTAAAATATCTTCTTGCTTAATAATTATTTTGAAGAAATTATCAAATCAAACAATCACTATTAAACACAAGAATTAGAATGTGACTGAGGACCACTATGTATTTATACTGCACACGTAAACTATCGAGAAAAAAAGCATTGATGTTCATCGATGATATTTTTTTGTTTCTGACGAGGTCATTTATTCATTCTATTCAATAAACATAATTGATAGAACTAAATACCAATGAATATGAATCAGTCAAATGTCACATTTCTTGATCTACCTAATGAAATATTATTTAACATATTGATGAGATTTGACATTATGGATGTTCTCTATTCATTATTGGATATTGAAAATCAACAACTTAATATGATAGTAAAAGACCAAAAGTTTACTACAAGTCTCAATTTTGTATTAACAATGATAACTAATAATGTATTGTTGATTGATGATTGTAAACTTGATCGATTCTGTATAAATACTTTGTCAAAAATTGCTCTTAATATTAAATCTCTTATTGTTGAATCGGAATCGATGGAACGTATTCTTCTTGCTGCTGATTATCCTAATCTAGTTATACTTAAATTCTTCAATCTCAATAACAAAACTGCTTCAAAATATTTTACAGGTAAAACATTCTTCTACTAATATGAACACAGAGTTTGATAGACACGTTGTATATTCTACATGGTATTTAATTATTTCTCTTAATTTAGTCAAGTCACCATTTCACAAGATACTTGAAAAACAAATTCGAGATCTTATGTACACAAATATATAGTTAAATTCTTCAAAAATCTAAAACATTTATCTTGTACTAGATCATGTGTGCTTTTTTCATTTCATAATTTACCTTTGACAGCTTATTCTTCTTCTTCAACTATTTACAAATTATCTATCTGTGTAAATCATTTTTGAAAATTGTATTGCTTTACTTGATGGTCATATCAAACAGTTAACTTCGTTTATTGTTAAAATTACTGATGAGAATTATCAATAATCAATTGTTTATAATATGGTAAATTACTTTATAAATATATTAGTTTTTCAAATTCGAACAAAATAATATTGGTGATAATATTAATTTAATCTTATAATAGATTTTTTTCATATAAATTAATATTCATTTAACCTAATTATACGCTAAATATTTATAAAATCGTGATGATCTATTTGATGAAAAAATATAGCAAATTTCATGTCGAATGCCTTGAAACGTATTAGCTTATTTGAATAAATAATTTGAATTATCGAACTTTATATTAGTGAAGAAGAGTGCGGGTGTCGGTTTCGTTTTCACGCACACCCATACTCATACCCACACTTATGTTCTTTTATAATAATAATAAAAACATAGTGAGTAAGTTAGAAATAATGGCACCATTTGTATTTCTTATTTTGTCTCGTGTTTCTCTGAGTGCATGCATGTAGTTTTTTTTCTGACAAAAGAGTCTTCATTGAGTCGTTTAGAAAATGATATATTTCATTCAGTAAGTACGATTCTGTTTATTTATTAACGGTCGGCGTTATCATTAGGAATAGCCATCACAACTTGTTAAAATGTTTGTTATATCTAAATAATTGTATAACATTTTGTGGAACTGATATAAATTTTCAAAGAAAATAATGTATATGTGTTTAATGTCGAGCTTTTGCCATTTCTCAGTTTCCTTCATTACAGATATTAACAACTAAAGTAGAAAACAAATAAAATATTTTTTTTCTCAGTGATCGATTGTCATTGAAATAATTAAAATGTGCAACAGACTTTGCACTTCACTTAGCAATGGACTGCGCTAACAACCTTTTTGAACTGTCTAACCGTGTGGTATTATTCTCAAAATTCAAGATGATAGATAGGATGAAGCCGTTTGTAAAATTATATAGGCGAAACTGAAATTTTAGAAAATTCTGATAATGATCCTAGATGTTGATATTAACCATTGAAAAATAAGCAAGACTACACTTTTAGAATGAAACATACCGCTTTATGGTACATTGAACTAAGAAGTTTTTCGAAAAAAATATCACTTCTCTATGCCCTTAGAAGAGCGACAGAAACAGAAAATACTATTTAATTTTGTCACTAGTTCTCACATACCAATCAAATTACTTCATGCATAATATTCGGATTATCTCACCAGTATCTAACTATCTCTTTTCCGATGAAAGTTTCGAAAATTTCACTTAATCATTGCAGAAGAATGTTTATATATAAATATAAAGTTATTAGTACAATCTATAACAAATAAATATGTGAAACACGATATAGTTGTGAGTACTAATCATCGAGGGATTGTTTAATTCAATAGACATTTTAGAAGACATTTTTCTTTTTCTCGTTTTGCTTAATTCTTGAAGATAAATAAGGAGCTAGTGAATATATTGTCACAATTGGCTTCTGATATAGGATTGGTCGCCGTATATCGATATATATAGCGTGGCTCGTGATAGTGTCTGAAACTTGTATGTCTTGAGACGTGTAAGATGGAGTATAAATATTGATTCTTATACATTTCAACACTTTCTTTAGACCGTCTTTACAGAATATTATTGAGTTGAATTAATATTTTAAAATATAAAGTACATAGAAAAGTAATTTTTGGATCAAATATTCGTTTAAAATTTTTCTTTTATAATCAATAATAAAAAAACTATTGGCAAATATTGATTTTGTATTTTCTAGGATGATTTACCTAATTTGAAATATATTTTATTAGAGTGTTATTGCTTATGAGAACAATATGATAGTAAAATTTTATCTCTTAGTCATCAAATGTCAAATTTTGAAGAATTAATTTTGAATATTACCATTCGAAATCGAACTAAATTTATCGATCGTACTCAAATTAATAATCAAATACTTGTTCATATGCCGCAACTCTATAAATTTACTTTTCATATATGTATCGAAACAAAACTACATTATTTAGTTCATGAGTTATCGAGCGATGATATTCAAAAAACTATTACTGATATAGGATATCATCAAGTGGCTTGTATTCTAAATCGATGCTATGATACAGGAACATGCCATATTTTTTCATTACTATCTGTGTTTGATACTCTTCGGTCTGTTGGCAACGAATTTCCACCTATTGTTTTCAAATATGTTACGCATATACTAGTTGTCGATGTAGTTCTATTCAAACATGAAATATTTCTTCGAATTGCCAGATTTTTTCCATTGCTTAAACAATTGAATGTTATCAGTTTTGAATCACAGTCACAAATAGCAGACAATATGAGCTCGAAAGATAATCAATTACATTCAGTTGTTGAATATCCTTATCTTATTTCGCTTCGTCTTGGAAGATTTCATATTGATTATTACGAGCAGTTTCTTAGTGATAGAAAAACACATTTATCTCGTCTAATGACATTAAGTGTGAATTATAAACGACTAGCAATTGTAACTGAAAACTCGAGGGTGTGAATGCTGGTGGGTGTGAGTTATTGGAGAGGTACAATCCACACCCGTATCCTATAAATCAAGTGATTCCATGTGAGCATTTTTCATTCATTTAATCATACACTCGTGATTACTATAGATAACTCTTAATATTTTGAAGAATTTTATTCATGACTATGAGCAACCGTCAAATTGGTAATACTTCATCAGAATCATTATTCAAAAACAATGAAAACAAATCGAACCTTGATCAATTGCTATCTGTCGAGATTATGACTATAAGTCAGCCATTGATAGAATTTACCACGACTAATATATTTTCAAGTCAAATACAATTGATTCATAATGTTCCAGAACACGGTACACTGACCAGAAGACACCAAGAGCGAAGAAGATGACGTCAGCAAAGACGAGAACAGCGATAAGAACAATGACGACGACAAGGACAACGATAAGCAAGAGATCAATGAATCACAAGATAGTTCCAAGATGAGTACATGATTAGAAAAAACTGGATCCAAAGGATCAATGGGAACAAAAACAACTGAACAAAATTGAAGAGTTCGTTGTCCTAGAGCAATTAGCACTAATACAAAACGAAATTGAACAAATTACACTAAATTGAAGAAGCTCAAAAACTCGAAGAAGAACAATAAAAGCGAAACAGTGAGCAATTAATTCCGTTAGAGCAATGGGAACATATCACATTTTTACTTCAACAATTAAACCAAAACAAAACTTATTATAATTGTCATACAATCTGTCGTTCATCTCTTAATTTTAATAAATACAATTCTTTTTCTATGAATATTCAACCATTCAATTCCTCATCCTCAATACGATATGTTTTAATTTCTTTTCAGATACAAGTTGATTTCAACTGAGATTAAAATCAATAGGCACAATATATTTTCAATTCCAAATTTACCTGATGATGAATTCTTAAGTAAAGTTTGAAACGACTGTCGTTAGTAGCTTGAAATCTTCTTGTAAACTCATTCCCCTTACCTCCTCAAGAAATAGTTTTTAAGATGTCAGTATGCGCATAAGAAGCAATTAAAAGTTCACTTAAGGATAGCAGTGATGGCAAAGCTTTGCATAGAAAAGTATTTTGCTCTTAGGGATAGTCAGATATACTTTTAATGAAAAGAAATTTTAGGCTAGCAAAATGGTGGACATAAAGTTGAAGTATTTCAAGTTGTTGATAATCAGAGGGTTTAAGTAAATGTACAGTATTGTTCATTTAATGGAAGAATGTGTTCACAGAATAGTTGAAAGTATTTGTAAAAATGTGTGTTACCATCTGTTAGATCAGTGTCTCAACTGCATATATTTCTGCATCGATCGGCTTAAACGTACCGCCGTTCGACATCTCAGCCGAGCAGGCGGTGAGACCGATGATCAAGTTCATCTCAGCTCTGAATTCAACGTAATCTCCGGCACGAGAGCGGGGCGGTTTTAGGTCCAACTCGCCTGACGGGAGGATGTCGACGTTCATAAAGATGTTGAACGTGGTAGGGATGTTGTCTGGCTGAATGCCGTGCTCACGGAGAGTGTTCACCAGGTTGATGAAGCAGCTTGGATGCTTGTCACCATCTTCTTGTTTGTAGATAATTTTGAACGTTTCCGGACTGCACGGAGTGTAGAGGAAATCGTGCCGCCCAACAGTGTCGCTGGTGATGGTGAGCATTGGCATACTGCGATTAGAGTAGAGGGTGTGACCGGTGGTAAAATAAATGGTGTTGGCATAATCAAAGCTGCGTCCGGACGAGAGCCATTCCCGTGTATCCGCCGCATTGAAGGCGATGAGGTCCGAGACCTGCTCGCCCTGGACGTCAATCACGCTCAGGCTTTGACCTCGCTCCAGCAGGAAACTCGTGCCGGTTTGTGGCGCAAGGTGAATGCGTCGAATGAGCACATGCTTGGCGATAGTTTGCTGTTGCGTCTCAGCCATGCAGGGCAACCTCGATGTGAATGAGTAGAGGAAGTCGAATTAGTATAGGTAGTGAAAAATGAATAATATTAACTTATCTGAAAGTACTTCGACAAAAGTTATGTTGTTGGCTATATTAATTTTCAATATAATAGGTTACCTTCGTATGTCTTCCACAAGAAAATGAAAGAAATAACGAGCAAAGTAGTCAGAGTAGTCGTTGATTAACTGTAAATGATCAGAAAGTGACAAATAAAAAAAACCATTTTGATTCACTTATAGAAAAAAAAGACAAAAATTGAGGGTGTGAGTGTGGGTATACCCTTAACTCATACCCTCGCCCACACGCATCCAGTATCCACATCTATACTCCAAGACAGGGGAGAACCTTATAAAGCGGTAAGGCTATAAGGAGGTAAGGCTATAAAGGGGTAACACTATAAGCGAGTAAGGGTACAAGAGCTACAAGAAATATAAGTCTACATGGGCTATTAGCAATATAATGATATCACGCCGTAGGGCTTCTATGTACATAATGCGGAGTGTCTGTATGTGTTACGGAGTAAAAGGTTAAAGGTTTGAGGTCGTACGTTAAAGAAAAAAAGCTACCGTGCAGTAGGTAAGGGTTCTCGCTAGTAATTTATATAGCATACTTAACTAATATTAAAAGAAGGAAGAGATAACAATTTTAACATGATTAATACAACCTTCCTAAAACGTAATGAATGAACTTAGATTTATTTAAAACTTTTTCGTCGGAAAACTCATTTTCAGATTCTTTGTCAAAGTTCAATTAGGAAATTCAATAGATTGAAAATTTTATTTCAATTGTTTCTTCATTTTTCTTTTTCTGTTATATCAAAATTTGATAAAATTTAAACTTATTTTTGACGAAGAACTCGTAAATGAATTTTTCGATGAATCGAATTTTTGACGAAAAGGTTCGAAGCAAATCTAAGTTGACTTACTGTTCAATGTTGATTCAATGATCAATTCATATTATTGAAACAGATCAAATATCATTGAAAAATATTACGAAATCCTCTCTCAAGAATTCTTTAGTTGTTTATTTCTCAACTGACGATTCAATCAGTTCATCTGAGTTCTTTCATATTTTTCAATGTCTTGCGATTCTTACAAGAAAAAGGGTGTGGGTCATCTTTTTACCAATAGCTCACACTCACACCGCTAGTGCTCAATAAATAAAAAATATTGTGTTATTTAATATACACACGACTGATATTCACCATCTCTAAGATGATATTGCCAACAAAATGAAAAACTATAAAATGACAGACTACATTCGTTTTCAGCATGAAAAGACCTACCCATTATGCTAATAATGTTATCAATCTCTTGCGGGGCAAAACTTTAGTGTCGTATAACTGTTCCTTCTTTATGATGTAGTAATATGTAGCTGCACTTATGTAATGATAAGGACTGTCTTCCATTTACTCTCCTCCTCTTATTTGTTCGTTCTTACCCTCTCTTTTTTATTATTTCTTCTGCTCGTATTTATCTTTCTCTTTTTCTCGCTCCTATACAATCGTGTGTTGAATATGTGGGTTGGTGGTTAGATATGTTTGTATGGGTGAAGAGAAGACTCATACTACACCCATCCAAGTCGAGTCTATTGAAGAAATTATCGTGGAACAGATAAATGGTATACTACGTTGCTCGATGGTTTATGATAAAAATGTAGTTACAGTTAGTCTTGACTTTTCTATGAAATACCAGCGAATATTGAAATCTTATACGCATATTTTTTGTATCTACAAAAAAAAACGGCAATTTCATTTTACACATCAAACAGGACTCAGTGAATCCTCGAATAAAGAAGAATGAAGTTCGTTTTCTTCGAAATTCCACAATTGATCATCTTGACAAACACGATGATCGATCGAATTAAGAAACACAACAGAAATCAATTATGTTTCAATCTAGATTTTCACACTTGTTTGTCTCGATCTTGCGTATCGTTTTCATATCATTGCCGATTTTCAAGTAATAACACTAAGAAGTTAAAAAGACTAGTATCTATCAATGTTACGATTACCAAAACAAAAGTAGAGAGCAGTTTTTTTTAATATACCAAATAAAAGCGAGATTATAAAACTATGAATATGTTCTAAAATAAGTCAATAGTATATTGTCGATCAAAATTCAACTGTAACTTGTGCTACTCCAGTAACTGCATCACATCCTTGATACCACAATGTAAATTGATCGATGGATATCTGTTTCCAACCTTCAGCAAAAACAACTTGTGGTGTAAGACCTCTTTCAGCCCATTTATTTGATGTCAAATCACATCGTTCCCAGTCGAGTTCAGGTGTTAGTATCGGTTGATCACTTCGAGCAAGAATTTTTGTTGGATCATTACCATCCATGATTACCCATCCTAAATTATATTCACGATCCCAATCTGGTTTCAAATGATTTATTGGTAAAGGTAAACGTCTTGCTGAATTGTACAAAAAAAGATAATTTCCATCACTTAAACGACGTGGTTCAGGTCCAGGTTCGACTAATTCACTATCAAAATAATCGACACGTTTTTCAATAAATGATCGTCTTGTATATTTATAATGAAGTAAATCACTTGTTGTTGCTAATGCTAATTCAATATTTGATTCATTAAAGAAGAGATATTGATGTGTTGCATTATGTACGAGTATTGTTGCTGCTTTACTCCATGACAATTCAGGAAACAAAGGTGGATGTAAAATCCAATTGTCTTTTTTTGATGGATCTTTATCTGATGCACAAGTAGCCAATGCAGCATGAGCACTCCATTCATGTGAAGGAGTCCAATAAACTGCTGTATAAAATAGATAATAAGTACCATTAACAACAACAATTCGAGGATCTTCGACACCAGCTACTTGATATGGTCGATCTTCTGAATCGATAATAATTTGTTCACTATGTACGTATTCAAATTTATTCTCTTTACTATCGAGTTGTCGTACAAGAGCTAATTTTGATGGACCAACATCATAATTTGATGTGGCATTTGGTAATAAATCTTGTACACGAACAACAAGAGCAATACTGTCATCAGGAAGTGGAATAAAGGCACTATTATAATTGAATCGAAATTGAGATTGATTATGCCAGAATGAGATAATCGGATTGAATGATAAACGACGAACAGTAATTTTAGGTGGAATATAAGAGGATGATGCAGTAGATAAAATCAAGGACAATACTAAGAAAAGAATTGTCATTATTCTCATTTGAATCTATCGTTGTGTGTGAATAGCGAAGTACAAAAAAAAGATAATAAAATCTGATATTTGTATATGTATTACATGTATTACAAAACACCTTGATAAAAAGATTAAAGAGATGATTTACAAAACAAATGAATGAAAATAACAATCAGAACTATGACCTTTTTTCTTTTTTTTATTAATAAGCAATGAGTATCAAATATCAAAATTTTGCTTTGAAGAATCAATTGATTGAAATCTTTTCCGTTTTAAATATTGTCTAAGATGAAAAAACAAAATCTATACTATTGGTTATGCAAACGTCATCATGCAGTCATACTTTTATAAAGTTTTCATTGAATTTCACTTCACCCAACATAATTTATCAGGTGTCTCAATATGTTTTCGACTCATTTTTTTTCTTTTGTATGGACATCTGTGAAATGATGTTCAGCTTAACATAGTTACAAATCATTTACTTGATAAAAAATGTGGACAACAAATTTTTGTCACACAATGACATATTCATTCTTTATTCAATGCAATCATCAGCAATTTTAAAAAGTTGTGCAATTAAATGAGACAAAAATCAGAATGCATGTCAAACTTCATATTTTACGACTAGAAATGATGAGATAAGTTTCGATGTCGGTCAATCTATTTGCAATTTTCACATTGTCATAAGAAGTCATTGTCGATTGTTCTTGATCATCAATTAAATCATGAGACCCCGGCATCCTCTGAATCTATGCTGTGTCTAGATTTTGCTTGCAATCAAATCCTTGAAACTGTGGAATCGATCATTTCTGGTAGTTGAGTTCATCACTTCAAGCACGATGAATAATGAAGCAATGCATAGAATAACAGAAAAAAACATGTAACAGTGTTGAGTTTCAGTGAACTTTGATCTGCTCAAGAGGGTAAGTGCAGTACTCAAAGATGCTGACGGTTCTAAACCTGCACTTTTCTCCTTGAAAACAATTCATTTCTTTCCAAAACTCTCCAGTCTCTTCTTTAAATAAATCTCGTTTTAATTAAGTTTTGAATAAATAGAAACTTCTCAAATATGTTAACTATAGTTCATAACATCCCTCATGGTAAGCCTTAAGTAATACTATCGAGTATTAAGATATTTTGACTGTGAATAATATTACAGTAACACTTGTTACTCTGTTCAATTTCCTCTTCACTTAATAATGTCTTGAATAATTTTATTCTTATTATAAATCTATATCTTTCAAAACATTTTGAATCTTTACTTTTCAACTTATCTTATTGTCATATTAATTCACTACCAATATGTGGTTCATTCGATGAAATATTATCTAGAAAAAAAAGTTAACAATCAATATTAATTCAAAAACAAAAGCCAAAACAATCTTCTACACAGGTAAATAATTTTTGTTTATATCATCAATATTGAGCTACAATTAACATTAAAAAAAAAATAATCATTCGGTCGTGATCAACGAAAAATACTTGTTAATACACAATGTCACCAAGACAAAAGCATTTATTTTCTATTCAATATACATTTTTAATATTAACCTTTTGCGGACGGATTTTTTGTTTTAAATCGAAAAGTGATTCTTCAATCACTTCATTTTATTTAGCTAAAAATGACTACAGAAGGGTGCGGGTGTCGGTGTGGATGTGTAAACATGAAAAAGCAACAAACGAAATGCCATATCCGACACCCACACCCTTTCCTTCCACAAGTCAAAGTCAAGTCGCAAGTCATTATAAAAAAATTTCAAATCAAGTCAAGCAAGTCAAAAATGACTTGACTTGACTTGTGCATCTCTGCACTGAACAAAAAATAATTTTTTACCGAACAAGAAATACTGAACAATTAAATACAAGCCTAAAAGATCTGTTGTGGCGTTTACTGTAACAATAGCTACCCGTCCGATTATTTTTTAGTTTTTTGTTTAATTCTGAAGATTTTTCGGAATTGTTTTTTTTCAGAATATTTCTCGCCCATTACTCTACCAAACAGAAAAAAAGAAATTTGAGTTAGCTTGTCAACAGACTTTAGTAGCTTCAATTTCATCTGTGGTGACATAAAATGGTCAAAGTTTGTACTTACAAGAGAACCGTTCCAACTGATCCAAGCCAATTTTGCCCATATGTAGGG